GAATGACCGACCTCTGCGGATTCATTCGGGGGCTTCAGGATAGGTTGTGTGTGACGAGAAAAGACCCCAGCTCCAAGCCCAGCGCTGTCGGTCCACTTTAAGGGGTGCCTCATCGCGATTTTCTATTTCCCATTTGAATAATACGGGGAAAACGATTTTTTCCGGTTTCGATGAGTTGCCTCGTTGGAATATTGCCATCTGGAGATTACAAATGTTTGGAATTTATAATATGGTAGTCAATTGACATGAAAAAATTTAGTACAACTCACTGTCAAGTGATTGAAGTGATAGGATTGACGTTTAGAATTGAAATTTTCATTTTTCTACCCTAAATTCTTATAGATTCGCAACTCTATCGGTTTAAAAAAATTACAAAAAATTTGTGGACCCTCAAGAATGCTTAATTCCTAGCTTCAAGTTGTATTTTTTCCTATTAGAGCTATTTTCCGACAATAAAAAAATTTATTTAGGCGAGAAATATTGCTGAAGTGATTTTGCACTTCATATTATTCAAATAATAACACTATCCGACACTGATTTTGCCTTTGACAAGCATCATTTCCAAAGTATTTTTTTGTGCTGAAAACGGTGGCACTTCCAGAATTTTCCTTTCCCGTCGCATTTTCGAACGAATTGAGGTTAAATAACTGACGAAATAGTATTTGAAGATCAATAGATGAATTGTAAAGCTTCAAAACAGCTTTAATATGAGATCTTATTTGCTACGAAAAAAAAAATTCATGCAAAATTCAAGAATTGTTTCCCAAAGTAAAAATATTTATTTAGAAGCTCTACAATTTATCTGTCGAGGGTCCTGATCTTCAATTAATATTTCTTCAGTTATAGCTGATTAGAGGAGGAAAAATGCCTATCTTTTGCGGATTTTTCCGTCTAACTCATTTCGCTCAATAGCTAGGGAAATGTTACCTATAAGAAAGTTGTAGAGCTTAAAAAACCTACAATTTAACTTCTTAGTCAATTCGATTTAATAAAAATTGATGCCAAGAGATCGTTTTTACCTTTCTTTTTTAACAAAAATAGATTTTTTTTTTCAAAAACCCCCAGCGATTTTTTGGTTTTTAGGCTCAAAATGTTCGTACGGTGTCCAGGAACAATGTCCCGTTGAGAAAACCCATATGCACGAAGGTTTGAAATAAAATTGGTTTCGACGCATCGTGTTCTCGATCTTTGCGTTCTCTATCGATCTTTCTCAATTCTGCCGATCTCTATCGATATCTCTCGATCTCAAAATCGATTGAGAGTGTTTTATGTCGTTTCTTCCAATGTGTTCTAGAATTACAAATTAGCAAATACACATGTGAGATTTAATAAATTATTTAAAAAAATAACATATAAGGGGCATTCGTTATTATTATTATTAAATCTAATTCAGCAACCCGAAATTACCTTTATATATCATGTGACATAAAAATGTAAGCATTTTAATGCCATATTTCATGTTTCAGTTACACTTACCAGTCGTTTTTGGTCAGTCATGTTGAAATTTTTAATTTGGACACTCGGCATTAAAAAGTAGACAAAATTTTCTGTAATTTACGTTTCCAGTTTAAAAAAAAAAACAAATGGGCATGGGGGGTGGGGGGTAACGATGAGAAAGAACATAATTTTCCATAATTTTCATAAGATAATTTATCCGAGCCTTGAATTGTATTCCTTTTCTTCATTTTTAATAAATTAATGCATTATTATTTGAAGATTATAAAGTGCAAAGTCACTTCAGCAATATTTCTCGCCTAAATAAATTTTTTTATTGTTGGAAAATAGCTCTAATAGGAAAAAATACAACTTGAAGCTAGGAATTAAGCATTCTTGACGGTCCACGAATTTTTTGTAATTTTTTTAAACCGATAGAGTTGCGAATCTATAAGAATTTAGGGTAGAATAGTGAAAATTTCAATTCTAAACCTCAATCCTATCACTTCAATCACTTGACAGTGAGTTGTACTAAATTTTTTCATGTCAATCGACTACCATATTATAAATTCCAAACATTTGTAATCTCCAGATGGCAATATTCCAACGAGGCAACTCATCGAAACTGGAAAAAATTGTTTTCCCCGTATTATTCAAATGGGAAATAGAAAATCGCGATGAGGCACCCCTTAAAGTGGACCGACAGCGCTGGGCTTGGAGCTGGGGTCTTTTCTCGTCACACACAACCTATCCTGAAGCCCCCGAATGAATCCGCAGAGGTCGGTCATTCGTCAACACAGTCTATATATACATATATTATGATATATCGAAATATAGAGAAACTATGTGTCCAGGTATTCACTACCGAGGAATTAAGTGTCTAGATGTTGTCTATATGTTCGTCGTCGAGGAAGTAAGTGTCTACGTATTTGATTTCGAGGAAGTGAGTGTCTAGGTGTTCGCTGTCGAGGAAATAGGTGTCTAGGTGTTCGCATTCGAGGAACTCAGTGTCTAGATGTTTGCCTTCGAGGAAGTGGGTGTCTACGTATTCGACGTCGAGGAAGTGAGTGTCTAGGTGTTCAACGTCGAGGAATTGAGTGTCTAGGTGTTCGCCGAAATCGATAAATTTAAGCATGATAAAGATCAGAAGCAACAACCAGAAATCTCCCAAATAGATAAAAACTCGCCTGTTTCAGCGAATGTCTCGACTTTAACAACGTCCAAAGTCACATGTAAGCCTCGGAAAGTTAAAAAGTTAATTAATTATGCCGAATTCACTGACGAGTGGAACGCAACAAATGAAACGGGAAGAGAAAATTCGGTTCCAGAAGAAATTCTCGATACCGACGATGAATCTGCGGTTTCGACGTGGAACAGGGGGAGTAGAAAAAAACCAAAAATAAACTTCTATTTTAAATGCCCGAAAAATATTGCGATCAATTGTCAGAATTCTTCAAGCGGAGGTCAGACCCAAGCTCAGAACCGCGAAGACGATAATGTTGAATTACAGAAGCCTCTTTCATTGAATATTGTTCATTCTGATCCAGTGTCTATTCAGGCGGAAAACAACCTGCTAACT